TGGGAGTACGGCGGGCACATCCACCCTCTGCTAGTGCCTTCTACCCGCCGGAGTCCAGGCCAAGGGCTGGGTCGCCCCCGCCCGTACGCACACTTCACCCATTCTCCTACCTCACTAATTTACCCACTCGAGCGTTTATTACTGCATTGTCCAGAGCTCCCAGGTTTCTCCCTCAAATGTGCACCGGCTCCCTCCCCCGCACCACACTGTGAACTCCAGGGTGGCTCTCCTTTCCCTCTGCAGCCCCAGAATCTGGCTCAGTGCCCTGGCACGGTGCTCAGTAACTGAAAGGGGTTTGGCTGGGGATGGGAGAGAAGAACGCCCATGAGGCTGTAGCAGGCAGAAGCGATGTGTTTGCTCCAGGACCCGGTAGGAAGTGCCGGGGTGGGCTGGGGTAGGGGAAACGGAGCCGCCCGGACCAGCAGGCCAGGCTTGCAACCTGCTGAGTCTTGCTTGCTCTGCGTGAGAGCCTGGGTGCCCTCCCAGGTGTGTGTGGGGTTGAATGGTGTCTCACAGCTAAGGAGCAGAGCTGCACACTGACATGCAGAAAGCATGCAGAGAGTACAGTCATGCGTGTGCACCCAGAACACGAGCACATGTGATCTGACCTGTGCATTCACCCCATGAAAACGCACAGGATTCCTCCACATGCTTGGGACAGCCAAGTTCACATGCTGACTACTGACGGGCTCCCGACGTCTGCTGCATTTATTGCCAGTCAGCTCTCCAGGAGCCAGATATGTGGCTGGGCTCCTACCCTCAGTAGAATACTCAAGGCACGTAGGGGGCATGGGTAGGGTTTGTAGTTCAGCTGGAGGCACTGTGGTGACCACCAGGGACAGGTGCCCGAATTACGGCGCAAGACCCTAAGTGCTAAAAGCGCAGGGCAGCCATATGCACACACACCCACAGCACACGTGCCCTCCACGACTGGGCAGTGTGCACCTCCACGCCAAGGTATCGGGGATTGCGGGGCCAGGCCCACGGGAAGGACGGGGGGGCGGCGGGGTTGGTCTAGGGAGGGAGGGAGGGACCCACGGGCCCTATTGGCACAGGAGGTCCCCCCTGGGAATGCATCACAGCACTCGGGAAGGGTGCCCCCCGGGGACTTGGGGTGACGCGGCCTG